GTGGCGCTCACCTATGATCCCAGCACTCGGGGAGGCAGAGGCAGGCAGATCGCTGTGAGTTCAAGGCCAGCCTTCTCTACAAAGCCGGATAGCCAAGGCCACACAGAGAAGCCCTGTCTCAGAAAAACAAACAACAAACAAACAAACAAGACCCCAAAGCCCCCCCCCCAGCGGTGTGGACCCTGCATGCTTCACAGCATGGTGGCTACTGCAAAAGTGGCCCAAGTGGTTGTGAATAAAACTTTTTAAGCCGGGTGTGGTGGCACACGCCTTTAACCCCAGCACTCAGGAGGCAGAGGCAGGTGGATTTCTGTTGAGTTCCAGGCCAGCCTGGTCTACATAGAGAATTCCCGGACCACAAGGACTACATATAGAGACAAAGTCAAACAAGAAACAAACAACCCTCCCCTCAACTTTGTGAATGGACTTAAAGCCCTTCCAGAGGAGGAAATTCCTATCTGGTACTGGGAACTTAGACAAAAACATTTCACCAAGGAAGCCATAGGCTTCAGCGGAGAAACAACGGCTCTTGGTCAGTCAAATGATGCACCCGATAAACCTAGTGCTTTCGCCACAGTGCCCTGACTATCGTAGCCAGAGATCATCAAAGCTGGGCTTCCCTCTCAGAAGGAATGCGTGAAGAAGATCATGGGAACTCACTTGGGTATCCAACCACCCCTCCCAACAAGCAAATTGTATGCAGTTTTCTCTAACTGCATGTGACCTGGGGTCTCTCACTAGGGCTAGAGGACATACGTGGGGGAAGAATTTGGGGGGAAGAAACTCCAGCTACAAATCCATAGTGCAGGGGTCATCCTGTGGAACAGTGCCTCAGTTATTGGGACCACAGAGGAAATGAGGTAAATTTGCTCTTTTGTTTCCCCAAGGGAGGGAATTGTAGCAAAAAAGGATAAGGAAGGAGGCTTGGGTGGGGCGGGGTGGGTGACTCTGTGAGATGGCAGGGTGTGAGGCCAGAGAGAACTTCTTTGAGGGGGTCCCCAGCGATGTCCTGGGCAATTCCCAAAACAAGGGTCCGAGTGTTCTAAGGGAGGCATCGCATCACATGATTTGGTTCAACACAGTGTACAGGACAAAGACTGTGGAGGAGGCAGGTGTCTTAAATTAAGAGCTCTCCCAGTGGGGGACAGAGGCATCCGCAGTTCAAAGCACTTGTTTCTCTTGCAGAGGACCAGGGTTTGATTTCCAGCATCTACACGGTGGATGAGAATTATCTGTAACTCCAGTTCCAGGGGATCTGATGCCATCTTCTGCCCTCCATGGGAACCCCACACACATGTGGTGCGCAGACATACATGCAGGCAAAACATTCATATACATGAAAAAAAAAAAGTTGTCACAGCAGACTTCTTAACTCTCCGTCCTAAAGAGAGAGCTGCAGGGAGGTGTGACCTGATTTATTCAGGGTTTGGGATCTGACCTTTTAGAGTGACACTGTATTTAAGGGGCAAGACTATATTCTAATACCTTCCAAGGCAGTCATATTGTGTCTTAAATGCCTTAAGGATTCATTTATCCTCCCTCCTTTCCTTTCTTTTTCCCAGGTCTTCAGCCATGCCAGCCATCTTCTACCACTAAACCATATCCCCAGCTCAGTGATCTATAAAGATATAAAATTCAGAGCCAAGGATAAAACCCAGGTCTCACGGTGTTCTCTTTAATCCTGACATTGAGCTTTGTGTGGTTCTTTTTAAGGATTCTGTTTTTGTTTTTTTAAGATTTATTTATTACTTATACAACATTCTGCCTGCACACCAGATCTTACTATAGATGGTTATGAGCCATCATGTGGTTGACTGGGAATTGAACTCAAGACCTTCGGAAGAACAGCAAGTGTTCTTAACTTCTGAGCCATCACTCCAGCCCCGGATTCTGTTTTTATATATGTGTGTCTATATGTCACAAGTATGTGGATGTCCGTGAAGGCCAGAAGGGGGAGTTGGATCCTGAAGCTAGAGTTACAGACACTCATAAATTGCCTGACACATCTGTGTAACCCCTAAGCCATCTCTCTAGTCCCGGTGGTTCTAGATATGGAGAAGCCAGCCATATGATTAACTCGGCAGACATTAGATGTTCTGGGCTGGAAGGGTGTGGCTGCCTGTCTCAGCAGCCATGTGCTCTCCCTGGATGTCCTGCTCCACAATCGAAGCAGCCTGGAAACTTGTGTTCCATCAAGCTCCGCCAGTAAGCTATACTTAGCCATGTGGGCGCGGTCAGGAGTGGGCGCTCTGAGTATAGTTAGTAACAAGTGGACTATTTCAAGCACCTGGAGAACCCCCTAGAATATTCCAGGCCAAAATGCTATTTATAGAATCCACCAGGCTTCTGGAAGCAAAAGCCATAACCTTCGTGTCCCTTTGGCTTTCTGAAGAGGCTTCTTTCAATAGGCTGTGGGGTCAGGGACTGGGTCACCCAAAGGCCTGCTGTCCCTGCAAACACCTGTTTCCAGAAAGCCAGGGATGTTCTTTGCCTTCATCCCTAACTGGAAGAGCAGTGGAGGCCCTCAGACCACAGAAGTTCTCTCTACAGGTACCTGTCCCGTGTGCAACCAGCACTCAGAGAACATGGCTTCCAGATATGATGGGTATACGTTCATCTAGTTCAGAACATCGCTGAGCTTATATAGGCCTCTTTTCCACAGACATACCTGGGCTGTGACTAGCCCTCCGGTTTCCCACTCTTTTTGTCCCTTGTCCTCTGCTCCCATTTTGGAGAGAGGGTCTAACAAAATGCCTAGTTTTCTCAAAAGATCTTTCTTAGGCGGGGAAGTGGGACTTTCAATAGTAATTCTATTGAAGGGGACAGACAGGGAAGGTGAACGACCACAGAGAACAGGCTAGCCAAGCACACTAGGGGACCTCCTTCCTGACCCTCCATCTGCATGTCAGGCTCTGGGCCCATAAGTCAAGTGAGATGTGAATGCCCCCAGTTCCTTTGCTGTGCTGTGTGACATGAGGGACAGTAAAGGAGGAAGCCACAGAGTGCCAAGCTGCCTGGGCAGGCACAGGTGTCTGCAGACAGCTCGGTGGCCTGACTTCGGTCTGGCCTGCTGAGTGGAAAGTGTCCTCCATTCATTCCATATCAGTTCCCTGGCAGGTACCCTCCTGGCGCTTCCCTGCCAATCCCCGCCCTCTGCTACCTCAGCCCTCCATCAGCACAGATATAAATATAAGAGCATTTTCCATGGGCTGGAACCAAAGGGGGGGAAACATTCCACTTTATTTTGGGCTGTGAGATTCCCTGCTTCATCCTCGACAGGTGCGACAGCCCCATTTAGACACGAGGAACCAGAAATAGAACACAATCTACAATATAGCTTCCTCTGGGCATCTGGATGCTATTTTAAAAGAACATTCCTGTGAGAAACCCAGGCTCATGTTGGTTGGGGTTCTAAGGGCCCCTCTGCCTGGGCAATCTTGACCTGCTTGCAGAAGGACCAGACATTTAGGGACAAGACTCCTTCCTTTGCTTTGACAGGGATGAAGAGGTGGGGGAGGGGAGAGAAGGGGTTTCTTGCCCACAGCCTTTGACGTTCTTTCAGATAACTATATCCTGTGATCCTGTATAGGTTTCAAGAAGAGATCATCAGACCCCCTCGCCTTGGCCTAAGAGTGAGGACCAGGGAGGGTGACTTCGCAAACCACGTGTTCTTGGATGTTTGGGCTGGACAATAGTTCCCTACTGCAATTCCATGTCAAAATCCTCACCCATAGAAGAACCTTAGGAGGTGACCTTAGAAGTGCATCTTTGCGGCTGCTAAGATGAGGTCACTCTGGAGAGACCCACAGGAACCCAGTGTGATGGCTGAGGAGGAAATGGAGGAAATCCTACAAACCAAGGACCACACCCACCCCCTGACTTGAAGGTCACCTTGAATTGGGACTTTTTGTGGGTGCATTTCCATTCAGAGGGTACCCTCAAGCTCACTTCTTACCTCCCGTGTAGGGAGGCAGTGGTCTTGGTTGGAGAACATGAATGCATCTGTCTCAAAAGCACCTCCCTCTACAGGTGTGGCGCAGTCGGCACCTCAAAGGAGTGGGGTGCAGTGTTTTTGCATTTGCAGTCCTTCCTCCTGGTCTCGAAGCCCAAGCTCAAGGTCAAGCTTCTTAGCCAGGTATGGTGCTCATGCCTGTACCCCGGAACTGAGGAGGCTGAGGTAGGAAGATTGCTGTGAGCTCAAGGCCAGTGTGGGCTGTACACTGAGTTTGTCTGGAGCTGACTCCAAACTGATAGGTCAAGCTTCCTCCGGGAGATCCCTAAGGCCGTTTAGAGGGCTGGCATCACAGAAGCAAACCACAGCTAGATACCTACTACCAAGTCTAGCCTGAGGCAGCTGAAAAACCAGAGGCTAAGGTACCTGACCCATGGGCTTTCCCACAAAAGAACCTCCACCAGCTGGCTGGAGGGTTAGCCAGTTCCCGGAAGTTCAGAAGCTGGGAACCTTTGCTACTGGGCCTGGACAAACATGGCCGACTCACAGCCCTCCTTCTAGGCCAGAAGTGGAGTGACCGATAGATTTGTACCTAAAAATGTGTCAAGAATTCTCCCAGGTGGACTCTGTGGGTCTCCTTTCTCTGTCCAAATGCCAACTAGAGTCAGTCGGATCTACTAGAAGAACCAAATCCTGCTCTCTCCTGGGCTTGGGATACTATTTAGCTGCCATAGCCACCCTACCAGTTCTCAGCCTTGGTCCTGTCCAAGAATCCTTCATGGGCCCTAATTCCTGGTGCTAGTGGTGCCCTCATCACCACTCTTCCAAGCACATCATGCAGCTTCTCTCTTAGGTTTCACTTCTTCCAGTGAAGGCCCCAGGCTCACCTGCTCATGGGGCACAGAAATGCCTTCACTCGGTCTCCTGCCTGCTTGGTGCCCAGAAGGGTCCAGGTTATCTGGAATCCTGCTGCCCTTGGAGAACTGCCTCCTCCATAGATCCAGGGGCTTGGTAAAGACTCAAGATCTCAAGGCTTGAGACAGGAGGCGTGAGTGTGGGGGCTCTTTATTACGCCACAGCTGTTCTCCTGAGACGTTAACCAGCCACTGAGGCCAGCAGGATGACAGCGCTGATGAGGTGGGACACGGCTTCAGCCCAATCCTCCCTGGCCCTGCCTCATCTGAAGGGGAGGAGCCAGGGCATATGTGTGATCACATGTACACATATGTGTGGACACAAGGGGCAGGAGAAAATGTGACTCCAACCCTAAGGTAAAGGCCAGTGAGGCAGGCTGAGAGGCAGCTGTGCCTTCCAAGGGTATCCACACAGTGTACCCCCCTCAAGTGAAAGTGGGCATTTTAAGTTGCACACAGAGGTACCCAGGTGCTGGGGTGGGGTTTGTCCACTGTTAGGCATTTCCCAACAGTCTCTCCTTTTTGGAATAGGTCCAGCAGACAGGCCAAGCTGAAAATGCAACCATTGGTTCTTATTTTGGTGAGCCTTGTGGTGATAAGTCTCCTCTGAACAGAGGCCTTGTGGAAAGATGCCTAAAGGCTCTACTGGGCATGGTTCTGGCAGGACACAGGCATCAGTGGGCTCGGTCCCTGCCTCCTCTGATTGTCCTAGATGACATAGGAGCACTGAGACTATTGTCAGACTTGGCCCCTTCACCCTGCTCTGCTTCTTAGGGGCCAGGACAGCAGCCAGCTCCCTCGTGCCGTGCCAAGAGAGACATGCGGGAGAAGGCCTTGGAGCAGACAGCACACCGGTACTTCTTGGTACCAGCATGAGTCTGCAGATGAGCACGCAGGTTGGAGCGGTCAGCAAAAGCCCTGCTGCAGTGAGGACAAGTGTAGGGCTTCTCACCTGTGGGAGGAAGAAGGGAGGTCAGGTAAGTGACCGCAGCCAGGACAGTCCCACAGACTGCGGCCAAAGGTGAAATGCCCCGTCCAGCAATGATTAACTCGCCCCTGCCCTCCTAACGCTCCTCACAGCCCTAGCACCCAAGGTCAGAGCCCTTTGGACAATCAGAATGTCACTCTGGGCAGGCTCACAGTTTCAGAGCTCTTCTGAGACAAAGGCAGCGTGGCTGCTGCTCTGTCTCTGCCCATCCCTGGATGCTCAGTTGTGACCATGAGATGTAGTGAGAGCTTCTGGAAGGCCTTCCTGGCCTCTAGCTGGGATAATATTGAGGTACGGTGACGGCAGCACTGAGTGGAGTAAGCTATAACACCTGGACGCAGGCATCACCTCCAATCCGGGCCACCATGGGTTGAACAAAATCTTTCTGCTAAGTCCCTGGCTTCCAGGATGACCTTCCCAAGTGGAAGGAGATGGGTAGTTGAGAATTGTGCATCTGGTTCTGCAACCCACAAGGGGTGCTTCTCTCCTGACTGGTTACAGTTCTCCAAACCCAGAGTCTGTCGTTCCTGTTGGAGTTTTCACTGTGGCCAGGCTTCCTCACCTTTACACATTTCCCTGGCCCCAAAGCCACAAAGTATGGGTGGATGGGCTCCACTGGACCCTGTAGCCTCAGTGGTCAGGGGACACCCGCTTCCTGACTGCTACCCTCCAACCCGACTCAGAAGAGGGCCTTTGCCGAGACTGAGTTAAAGGTGAGGCCGTGTGCGTGAGTCCTAACTCTATGACATACAGGGGTTTCCCTCCCTTACAGCGGAGAGATCCATACACACAGGGGAGAAGGCATTGGGAAGGCAGAGGCAGAGACACAGACACGGCCATCTGCCCGTAAGTAGGGCAGTTGCCAGGAGACAAGAGATGCAAGAAGTTATCATTCCTGCAGCCTTTGGGGAGAATGTGGCTTGGCCATGCCTGGAGGTCAGGTTTCTGGCCCCAGGACCTTGAGAGGACATGTCTGTGGTGCTCTTCATCTGTGGGATGTGTTAGCAGTTGCAGGAGGTGTAAGACCCTGCCAACGATGAGACCACCTTCTCCTTTCTTCTATCCAGCGCCTCCACCCAACCTGGATCCTTTTCTGGGACTGCAGCCCCACCCATCCTACCTGTATGGGTGCGGATGTGGCCCTGGAGCAGCCAGGGCCTGGAGAAGGCCTTGCCACACACCTTGCAGATGCAGGGCAGCGTGTGGGTACGGATATGCATCTTGAGGGCACCCAGGCTGGCATACTCCTTGTCGCAGTACCTGCAGGTGAAGGCACGCCCAGTCGGCAGGTGGCAGTGCAGCTGCTGGTGCCTGGCCAGGCCGGCCAGTGTGTGATAGGGCCTGTGGCAGTGGACACACTCAAAGCTACCTGGGACTCGGGATGTTCCCTCAGCCCTTAGATGTTCACCTAGTGCTCCATCTGGGCCCAGGATTGGGGGCCACCGTGTGGGCAGCACCAACAGCGGGGGCAGATTGACGCTGTCTTTGAGGGGCACACTGGGGTCCTGGCCAGCCCGAGGGCCCACCCAGCTGGTTTCCTGAGCTTCTGGCCCAGAGGCCCCATGACGCGGCTGAAGAGGTAGGGAGATGCAGGCGATGGCAGAGGTGCTGTCCCGGGGCAGTAGAGGGTCAGTGGGAGTAGAATAGGCCTCCTTGGCTGGCAGATGGCAGGATCCCACCAGGTCCTCACATGCAGAGCAGGAGCCATTAGCTTCTAGAGAGGCAGACGGGGGAGAGAACACATAGTGAGGAATGAGGCGCAGTGCCTGGGTTTTCAAACTTCTTACTTATTTAGCTGCAGTCTGACCTGTCTTACAGGTCATCAGCAGCCAGCAGGACCTACAAATGCCTACCATGAGCCCATGCCTACAGCAGCCAGGCGTCCTCACCTTCATCTCCTGTTCTGGTCCATAGGGGTGGTGGTGATGGGAGGCAAGGGCTGAGGAATGCGTGAACTAGACAAGTCCACAACTACAAAGTGAACTGAACTTGTCTGTTTAAAACAAGGAAGGGACTATCTTCCAGGACCTCCAGGGCCCAGAAGCATAAACATTTGCACAGCCAGGCCTGGGTGTAGACACCTGTAAACCTAGCACTCAGGAGACCAAGTCAAGGAGGATTTCAAACCTGAACCAGCCTGAGCACCATATGGAGACCCCAAGAACCAACTCCTCACAGGAGTGCTTGCTCTAAGTCTAGGTCTGGGCGGCTTGTCTAAGGAGCCTCAGCCCCACATCTGGACAGTGGGCAGCAGCTGGGGCTGGCACCCTTGAGTTCCCACACAGAAGTATGCACTCAGAACATAAGAAACCTGGTAAAACCGGCCACCCACCCCCACAGCATCCACTCACCACAGGGTCACCCTTGTGGCGTCTCCCTGAGTGTGTCATGATGCGGTGTGCTCAGCCGCAGTCCTGGCCACTGGGCAGCACACACTTGTTACCCTGTCCACATGCATGAACACGTCCAGCCAGGCAAGTAGCTGCAGCTGGGGGCTGCTGCTTCGCTCGGCAGCAGGGCTAGTCCTGGCTTTATATGTTCTTTGGTTGTGGCTCCTGTATTTGTGGCCAGAATTTCATGTTCTTGACCAAATAATGCCGGTATCCCTCCCCTCCCCCCCCACACAAGAGAGACCAGACTGCAAATAAGAGGCAAATTTTGGATTCCCCACAGACAGAAACACCAGTCAGCCCTCCATCCACTTCCTCTCCCACACACACTGAGACAGACCTCCAGCCTTGTTTCTACCCTGCTGCCGAGGCTTTGGGTAGAAATGGCAGCTCACAGGTTTGGAGGGAATATTCCTGACTGAAACGTTTGACTAAACACTAGCGTATATACAAGAAAGGTTTACAGCCTCATAGTGAAAAGCCTAACAGCACAGTTTAAAAATAGGTACAAAAAGTTGGGAGCACAGTTCAGGTGGGAGAGTGCTCGCCCAAGACGTCCTGGGTCCCTTCTCCAAACTGGGTGTAATGTTGCACATTTGTAATCTTAATTAGGGAGGTGGAGGCAGGATGATCAGAAGTTGAAAGTCATCATCAGCCACAGAGAGTTCAAGGTCAGCCTGGAATACATGGGGCACCATCCCACCTCAAAAATGGGGAGACATATAGAAATGTCTGTAATATTATTTCTCCAGAGACAATTCACAAGCAAAGTTGGGAAGATGGCTAAGCAGGTATTAAACATACTTGCAGCCAAGTCTGCAACCTGAGTTTTATCCTCAACCATGTGATGAATGGGGAAAGCTAGCTCTTTCACATCATCTCTGATATTCACACATGATACCCATGTGGGCAATAAGCACACAAGAAAATACCCAGCATCATTAGACATCAGAAAGATGCAAATTAAAACTACATTGAGACACCACTTCACACTACAAGGGTGGCTAGAACTTATGGAAAAAGACACCAACAAGTGTTGGTGAGGATGTGGAGAACCAGGGAGTTAAATCCCTTTACTCTCTCCCTACCTGAGCTCTTCCATGCATTTTAGCCAGCATGTCATACCGTGGAATTGGGGAGGAGAGAGCAGGACAGTAGAGAGACTGTTAGCAGAGTTTCGGACAAATAGAATGCAATCAGCATCCTGGGAGATTTCACTGGGGTCCTGTCTGCAGGCAAGTCTACTGCTGTCACCCAGGCATTGCAAGGTTCAAGCCCCGCCTGTGTTCTGTGCCCACTCCACAGGTAGAGGAGAGGAACCCCATGCCGGGCGGGAGTGGCTGTGGCTGCTGCAAGTCCTTTCCTTGCACGCTTGTGCTTTTCGAAGTTTTGGTTCCCAGGAGAGGAGGGTCTCAATGCCCTCTGGCTGGAGGCATCCCTGAGGCCTCGTAGGCGGAGGGAGGGGGATCCTAGACCTCAGTACCTCAGGATATTCCAGGGTGACGCCCTAGAGGAAGAGTCACTGGGGCCATGGGGTCCTGGGAAAGCAAAGAGGAAGTGTGAAAAGTGAATCAAGGCTGTCCTGAACGATCCTCTGTCCCTAACGGGGCCCTTTGGGGCACCTGATTGGCTTGTTTAAGTGTTAAGCTGGCGTGTGCTGTAGGAGTGCACCCTAAGGTTTTAAACTTTCAGAAGTATGGCCAGGGACCACAGACATGACAACTTGACTAGCCTATGGGAGGCCCTGATTCCATCCTCAGTACCAGAAGGGGGAGGAAGAGGAAGAGGAGGAGGAGAACAACTATTACATTCACTGTATCAGCCAGGAGTGGTAGAGCACTCCTGTAATTCCAGCACTCACAGGCGGATCTCTGTGAGTCTGAGGCCAGCCTGCTCTACATAGTCCATGACGGCCAGGGCTACAAGAGAAACCCTGTCTTAAAAAACAAAACAAAACAAATAAGAGATAGAGAGAGAAAATGCTCACTGCACTCTGACTTCATTAAATTGCATTCAAAAGGTTCCCTGAAGAGAGGACCCTAGATAGCACCCCCTGGTGGCAGTGCGGGTGGTGGGGCCTGATCCAAGGAACTTCCACCAACTGGGGGCTCTGGGTAGGACTCACATATGTGAGGGATCCTGGGCTGAGCCCTGACGTCAGAGGAACCCCCAGCCCCTGGCTAATTCCCCACTGAGTCCTTTCTCCGAGACGCTGCCCACCCGAGTGGGGATGGCACTGACCTACGGCAGCAGGCTGACCCTGAGGATTAAGGGTTCTCCTCCCCGGTGCTCCAGACTTTCACATGGCCCCTGAGCCTAGCAGGAATGGTGGACACCCTTGGTCACTGTACTATGAGAGCAAGGCTTCTGGGAAGAGGAGAGACCACCGGAAGTTCTGTTTGCTCTGTCAGTGAGCTCACCGAGCACCGCACCCCCCCCCCCCCCCCCGTCCCAGGCAGGATGCTTTGGGGGAGTTCTGCCTTTTCTCACCAGCCACCTTCTGTGGGCAGGACAAGTTTCCTGGCTTTGTGGTCAGCGAGGCCTTCTCTAGGTGGGTGTATACAGCACCCGGGCCATATTTTAACTTTGGACTTTTCCAGGCCTGCACAGAGGACTTCAGGGTCTCTTCAGCTGGAGCCGATGTGTTGGCAGCCCACAGGAAGAAGCTCCAGGGTAACCCTGGGGCTCAGCAAACTTTTCTGAGTGGGGAGCCCAAGGCGTGCCCGAGTCCTCCGAAGCAGAGAAGTTGCCCTGGGCACATCCCTCTTGGATCCCCAGTCTTAGGCCAGAAGGGACCCTCGTCCCCGTTGTGCTGGAAAGCTCTAGCCCCTTCCCCTCTCACCTGGGGCAGGTGTGACCCAGCTCCCAAGGACTTCCCAGTTGCCTCCTGCCCCCGAAGCGCTGAGTGCCGGGGGCGGAGATCCCGCCAACCCCTACCTCTCTGTGTTTCCAGTTTCCCGTAGTTGGGGACCCTGTGACTGGAATGCGTTTTCACCAGGAAGGAGCGCGGCATGGCTTCCTCCCGAGAGGCGGCAGGGTCTAGAGCCTGCAGCGGGATACCGACTGTAGAGTCCGCGCGGTGCCCGCGGGCAGCGCGGCCGGCAGGTGCGAGAAGGGTCAGGCTCATTAGCATAGCGCACCGCCTCGGCCAACCAGCGCGGAGCACGGCGGGGCGGGGCCGCGAGGCCACGCCCAGGACAGGTGCGCGGGCGGGGAACCCGACGCGTGGTCGGCGGTGTCTGCCCCACGGGACTCCGCTGGCCCGCGCCGTGGTCACGCACCGACCCCGCGGGGGCTGGCCATTGACCGGCCATGGATGAAAGAGCAGAGTTCAGGGTTGGGAGTCAAGGGCCAGCCAACTTGGACAAATCAAAAGTCCCTGTCCTCTGCAGCATCCTTTCTAACCCAGGCCCAGGAGAACTGGAACAGCCCAGTTGTCTAGGTTCTCCATGTGGATGTTTACGACTTTAGGGGTCCGGTGGGACAGTCTCTGGGGGAGGCGGACATAGCAACACCTGGGTGTGTCTGCGGCTGAGATGCAGGGTTGTCTGGCCAGAACTGAGCTTTACCCTATAACATGGCTCCTTGGCATCTGTGGGCTGGGGTGGGAACGGAGGTGACTGTGCAGAGGAGACAGTGGGGGAAGGGGGCTGAGTCACCCTGGCGTTCGTGTTCACAGTAGCCGGTGTCATTCCGTTCCTAGTCTGCATAAGAGAAAACCAAGGTTCTGAACAACAGAGCTAGGACTAGCCCCCACTTCCGGCTGGTTAGACGTGGCTGGGAGTACTCCTTTGTTACTGTGTGAGAGTGTGGTAATAGGGCATCTGCAGGGAGGCTCTCTGAGGACAGAAGCCCGCTGGCTGCCCATTCACCTGTTCCTGGGACTTGTAAGGTTTCTATTTGTGGCCTTTTGTACCTTTCCACTCCCAGGCGGTTCTGAGCCAGCTCCCACCTGCCATATTCTTCCCACCCACTCACCCATTGTGCGGTCTTTGGCCAGTTCTCCAAGCTCATACCCTAACCCCTGTAATGAGGGATGACCTGGTACCCCTGAGTCCAACTGCCAGCCTCGTCAAGAGTTCTGGGCCCATCTTTGGAGGGGGGGTGCGGGTGGCTGATGGGTTTCAGGCATTCAGGAGCCATCATGAGGCGGTTTAAAATTCTAAACCCCCTGCAGTGAGAAGCCTCCCCAGTGAGAGCGAGGCTTGTCTCAGCCAACACAGAGCTCCTCAGAGCTTTTCCTAAAGATGCTGAGATATGCTATTTGGATACCTGGGCCTTGTCTGCTGCCTACACGCTGTGTTGGTCACTCACCTCCTTTAGCAGAAATACAGGTTTGGGAACCAACTCACGGGTTTCAGTGGTGCTCTGCAGGCCCCATGAAGCTCTCAGCAACCTCAGGAAGCAGGTGGAGCAGGTTACAGGAGAACCATCAGGGCTGACGACTGTGGGGCAAACACTCCTGATCACAGAGACAAGTAACTCCACAGGCCACCCGCCTGGGGAAATCCCAACCTGCCCACAAGAGAAGTCACAGTTTGTCCCCGCCTCGGTCCCTGACATACTGACGGAGCTAAGAGAGGGTGTCATGGGTTGGACTGTGTCTACTCAACAGATACAGCTGCGTGATTTAATTCACATGCTAAATCCGTGCAGATGTTACTGATTCCAGAGGAGGCCATTAGGATGGGCTCTAACCCAGGATGTGCTAAGAGGGCAGCAAGACTGAGGTGTGCACAAGGTAGGCAGCAGCCTGTTGTCAAGACAACGGGGGCAGCTGGAGAGTCAGGATAGAGGCCTAAGGCCTGAGTGGTCAGCAACCCTTGTCGTCTTCTGGCCTCCAAGCACATTTCTGGTGTTCTCACAAAGAGCCACTTCGTCGTCCTCCATCCCAGCAGCTCCTGACGCTTACACAGATGACATCCTGGAAAATCTGGAGCAGCAGGCTGGGTCAGCCCTGCAGATTTTTGGATGAGCATTGCTGAGAACCTGTGGCGGACACAGCACTGTAACCGCTCCCTGCTCTGTGTCTCACCCGGGCACACAGCCTGCCCTGTTGCTCCCAGCATTTCTGAAGTTCAGAACTGCGGACTGATTAGTCTACAAATAGCCTCAGCAGTCCATCTTCCCGCTTTTCCCTGGGTAGAGGGTCAGACTGAGGTGGAGGTAGGCTCAACTAGCCTCCTTTGCCTGACAGAGTGGAAGGCCTTGAGAGGGTCTTTGATCTACAGAAGGAGGTACTCTTTGGCCTTTTTAGAGTCCTTGAACTGCACTAGGCCCTGACAACTACCATGTATGGTTGGAACCTTTTTCTCCAGTGTTTTGAGGGCAGCGAGGGCCCAATAGGTGGGCAACTCGGAGACAGAGGATCCCTCACTTGGGCCTAGCCCGCCCAGGTGTTTCACGTACAGGAAGGCTTTCTCAGTCTCCTCCCGGCACCAGAGCCTCAGCTGAGGGTCTGGTCCTTTGCAGAGGCCTTGGCTTCCGTGAGGGCTCCAACATGTCCACCCCCAGACAAGCTGGGGACCTGGGTCTCCAAAATCCCTTCATCCAATGGGAACAAGGCCTCATGAGCTCCAATGGGGCACTCCTGCACTAAGAAGGTGAGTGCCAAGCACACCATACAAATGTGCCTGAAGGATTATGGGAAGGCACAATTCCTGCAGCCGGGTAGGCTGGTGGGTGGGTGGGTGAAGCGCAGCAGTTTGCTTCAGCAGTGAGGTTCTGAGGCGTGCAGTGCCAAAACCTTGAAAATCACACACCACTGTTTGTTCTGGTGCTGTGGGGAGCACACAGGTCTCCCACGACCCAGACCACTGACAGCTCCTCAGAGGCCCGAGGCGGAGGAGCCCTGTGCTCTCCAGTTGGCCACCTGACTCTCTCCTAAGGAGAAGGTCCAGGGACCTGTGACAAGGGTGCTTTCTAGGAAGCAGGGTGCTAGCTTCCGGTGCTGTTGCATAACTTGAAACTAAAGGCATGTTGCCACTGGCCCAGGCTTCTGATACCCTAGATGCTGCAGGGCGCAGCGGCGTGGGCCGGGGGAAGATGGTCGAGGTGAGGCATACAAGGGAGGCCCAGGTGGCTTCCTACTATTTTTAGAATAGTTCAAGGTGGAAAGAAACAAAAAACAAAACAAACAAACAAACAAAAAAACAACCCTTAGCTTGCTGAACTTCCAGCCTAGAAAGGTTGAGGCATACCTAAGGACCGGGGCTGACTGTAGACATGGTGCCGATTTGCTCTCAGCCTCAGGAGACTGACCCTCCCTCTGGCAAACCTCACAAGTGACTATATGGCTATAGGTTTGTGTGTGATACTCTCCAGAAGGGCCGTGGTCCCTGTTCTCAGAGGCATCCCATTAGTATTACAGATTCTAGCTACTTGTCTTCCCTCCACCCCCAAATACAAGGGAATGGTTGGCTGCTTTCTGATCTAAGGCTGTCTCACCTGGACATGCTGCCATCTGCCTTGTTCTGGGTTTCCCACCCTCCTTGGGGTTTACCCTGACATCCCTCCAGAGACTCCTAGACATGGAGTCACCCGAAGGTGTCAAGGCCAATGGGGGAAGCTTCAGCTGGATGCTGCCTCGCGGCTTTGCTAAGGGGTGACCACCCTCAGAGCCCAGACAGAGCGGAGGTGTGTAGGCCGTTCTGGGCACAGGAGCATCCACGGCGTCCATGGCAGCCTCAGGGCTTCCATGGACAGCATCGAAGAACCTGGAGTTCTTTGCACCCAGGGAGAGGGGATGGGCTGAACTTCATCACAGGGTGGAATTTTCTGGAAAGAATGGACTCTTGGGTAGGTGTGTAAGGTGGATACCTCCTTTGTTTCTTCTCCTTTCACTCGGGGACTGCTCTCCCTGTGGTAGGTTTAATTATTGTCTGTCCAGGGGAATGGGAAGCATGTATTCAAAAATGACAGTGGCTGGTCACATGGGACACAGAAAAGGAATCCTTTCCTTCCCCTTGCCTCTGCTCCCATCAACAGCAGGGGCAGTTGGGTGTGGCTCTTCCTCTGCCCCTCCCCCAGACTCTTGAGGGATGAGACCAGATACCCGTGTACAAGGGGTGAGCCCACACTTGATCCGGTGAGCTCCGTGATCTGCTACTCCCTGCACTGTCTACGAAGCAGAGCACAGCCTAGGAAGTCAGGCTGTCCTGTACCCCTTGGCAAGGTGAGCCATGGACTTATGGCTTCCCAACCGGCCATTCCTCTTCTTTCCCCAGCCCCCACAGGCTTGCAGGCCCTGGTTTTGAGGAGCCTTAGAGGCTGGGCTTACACTGAGGCCCCCACAGGTGTGGTGCAGAAAAACTCAGGAAGCATCTCAAGCAGAAGGTTGCTGCTAAGGTCAGGGCCTGCTGTGACTGGCCCGAAGCTGCCTCCAGGGTTCCCTGGGCACCTAGAGATCATGCCCTCTGAGGACTCCCTTTGTCACTGTGGTCAGTCATAGCGCAGGCCTGGGCCTGTAAGAACCCAGCTCCTGTTGGGACTGTGAGCACCTGCCCAAGAAGTGGTAGGCCAGGCTGGCAGCCAGGGGATGACAGGGCAGCCCTGCTCTGAGGGCTCAGTGGTGGCTGACAGCTCAGCGAAGACCCACTTCTGGAAATCATGCGAGGACAGCCTCAACGCAGCACTGCTGACCCCAGAGCCTGATACTACGTGCAATGGGTCCCAGGCATGGAGAACACTCAGAGGAAAGTCTGAAGGTGACCCTGCTTCTTACAGGGTATCTGTCTGCCCAGCAACCATTCCCTCTCAAGTTACAGCCTGTGGGTGGGGGCTCTGATTTGCCTGCCCATGTCCTACTTTTAAGTGTTACAACAGAGACCTGCCACTGGGTGCCACCCGAGAACAAAGAGGGGCAGTAAGGCAGACGGCAGTCTACCCCGGAGGAGGAGCCTGACTTGCCAAGTGCCTCTTCAGCTTTTATTACTGTTTTGAGATGGGGTCTTATCTGTAGTCCTTACTGACCTCCTGGAGCTTGCCATGTAGCACAGGCTGGCCTTGAACTCACAGCAATCCTGTCTCAGCCTCTTGAATGCTGGGTTTTCCCTGCATGAGCCACCATGGCCAGCTCTCCTCAGCTATTAGAAACCCTTAGTGAGCT